TGCTGATCTGCAGGACTCCTGTGGGTCTTCTAGATGAGAATCCTTTCTAAAACTCTCTTCTGAGTCTGTTAGCCTTCTGTGGCCTGTACCTTGGTGTCCTTTGTTGAATAAGGCAATTATCCATTTCTAACCCACTTGATCTTCAATAAATCCACGAGGGAGCCAGGAAAGAAACTATTATCTCATTAAATAGAGGAAGATCCAGAGGCCCCAGAGAGGTCACTAGCCCTCCCAAAGCCGTAGACCTGGAATCCCAGCTCCTGGATAGCGGTGTGACAGCAGGTGGCTTTTACTTTTCTGAGCATCACTTTTCTATCAATCAGGGATGCTAATGTCAAGTTTTCAGGCTGTTGAGAGATATGTTAAGTGCAGTCCTGAGCTTACACTAGGGACTTCCATGACATTATCTCCCTTTTTCTCTCTTTCCTGATCCCACAGAAGCCAACTGCACCTATTTTAAATTCTTCACCACGGGGGAGAATGCACACATCTTCCAGAGAACCACAAAAAAAGGTATGAACTTTTCACTCCCTGGCGGGGTCGTAGTGGGAATATGCTGACTATGCTAGAAGAGTTCTTGATAGCAATATTCTCTTCCCTGCTTTGCCCCAGCATGGGCTCAATTCTTATGTCCCGGCAGGGAGTGGGTGGGCTGGGGGGAGTGCTCCTATCTTTGGAAGTGGTGGCAGTAGGGTCATGGTTCTCTTGCCTCAGCTCTGCCTTTGCTACATGCTGCGTAACTTTGGGCCAGTCACATCCCCTCTCCGTGGGTGGTACTTTAACACCTCACAAATGTGCATTTACCACATGCTAAGCATGGTGCTGGATGTTTCATGTATAAGATCTCCATCCTTGCCATACCCTGCAGGCAGGAGTTTTATCTTAACTTTCCAGATGAGGAAACAAAAGTCCACAAATGATTAAATTAATTTTTCCCAGGAAGTGGAGAGACGAAGGCAGGATTCAAACCCTATGGTGCCTAGCACATAGTAGGTCCTTAGTAAACAGTGGTTCCTTACCATCTTTACTGCTTTCTGTCTTGCCTTGGTGCTAAATGAGCTTGGAAAAGTCTCTGTGCTCCTCCAGGATAGTGAAATAATCATGTATGGAATAACTGCTGGGTGCAGGTGCTGCACTGGACTCTTTACACGTGTGATTTATAATCCTCACAATAGCCCGATCAGATAGGGATTTTGATCCTGATTTTCTAGAGGAGGAAACTGAGGCTCAGAGAGGTTCGATGACTTGACCAGAGTCTTCCAGTTAGGAAGTGGCTGGGGAAAATTCCTACTTGAATCATTCCATTGTAACATACCACCTTCTTTGTCGTCACCTACACACCTACTGCCTCAGTTTCCTCACCCATAAACAAATGGTGACCAGATCATAAGTGATCATTGGTAGTTTCCATCTTATTCTAATCCTGGCTCTGTTCTATTTTTGCTCTGTGACCTTAGACAAGTAACTGGTCCTCTCTGAGTCTTAGTTCCTTCAACAGTACAAGTGAAATATTAGACTGGATGTTCTTCCACTTGAAAATTCTTTTCTAGTCCTGAATCTTCTGTCTTCTTGGTTCTGGGTCCCTATAGGGGAGTTCTTCCCACTCCCTGCATCCCATATTCTCTACTTCTTCTCCTTCCTCTTCTCGCAGAAGTGAATCTGGCAGCTGCAGTGATAGCAGTGCTAAGCCTGGCAGTCATGGTCCTGGGGTGCCTCTGTGTCATCATGGTGCTCAGCAAAGGTGCAGAGTTCCTGCTCCGAGTTGGAGCTGTTTGCTTTGGCCTCTCAGGTGAGGGTTGAGAGCCTGGAGGCTGAGGCCACTGCATGCTGGAATGTGGGATCTTCAAGCCCTGTTACATGCTGGGAGGTAGGGAATCCAAGTACTGTTGCATACTGGGAGGTAGAATCTCTAAGCTCAGTTGCATGCTAGAAGGTTGGATTTCCAAGCACCATTGCATGCTGGGAGGTAGGGTTTCCAAGCACTGTGCATGATGAGAATTAGAGGACATTCAAGGGCTTTAGAGGTCTCAAAGAGGGGAAAGTTCTAAGGCCTGTTGGCTGAGAATTGGGGGAAGGGTGGTCTCCAAACACTTTTAGATTTGGACCTGGAGTTGGCAAGGACCGTTGCATTCTTGGAGCTGAGGGTCCAAAAAAATGCTGCATCGTGTGAAATGTAGTCTTCATTGGATCAAATCCTTTTTAATGTGGATAGAAAGGTCATTAATTATATAAGCATTCATTTGTTAGGGCTGCCATAACAAAGTACCACAGTCTGGGGGGCTTAACACCAGAAATGTGTTTTCTAGAGGCTGGAAGTTTAGGATCAAAGTGCTGGCCAGGCTGGTTTCTCCTGAGGCCTGTCTCCTTGACTTGGCAGTTTTCTCCCTAAGTCCTCACATGGTCATCCTTCTGTGTCCTAATCTCCTTCTTGTAAGGGCACCAGCCATACTGTATTAGAGCTCACTTTAGTAACCTCATTTTAATTTAATTATTTCTTGAAAGACCCCATCTCCAAATATAGTCACATTCGGAGGTGCACTGGGGGTTAGGACCCCAAGACGTGAACTTTTGGGGAGGACACAACTCAGCCCACAACAATACATGTACCCAGTTGTCATCCATCTTTCCTTCTAGGATGAAACAGCAGGTAGACAGGGCCTTTGTTAGTCTCATTTATATATTTTGTACATATTTCATAATGAGAGTTCAGTTAAGATCTGTTGAATGAGTAAAAGATGCATGAATTCACAAAGGAATGAAGAGAACTGGATAATGTCTCCTCCTCATCCAAATGCTTTTGCACCTGCAGTGCCCTAATCCTGAGCTGTGTAAAGCCAAGAAGGGGCTCATAGAGGGACCATTGAAGCATGGTACACAGACTCCAGACCCCTGATTAAAATCTGTTGGAGAAGTAGAGTACAAGAAGGAAGGAGGCTCATGGACTGAGGTTGGGGCTCAACTCCAGGGTCTGAGAGGGGAAGTAGCTAGGATCCATGACCATGGAGATCTGACCACTGCTCACCTCTGTACTTCCATTGCCTACCACTCTTCCCCCTCCCCACTCTCTATGCTTTGATCGCATTGACTTTCTTTTCCTCAAACACACTATTATACTCCATCCTACCACAGACCTTTGCACCAGCCATTCCTTCTACTTGGAACAGCCATTGCTTAATTTTGGGTGTGGCTAGCTTATTTTCATCCTTCGGGCCTCAGCTCAAGTGGCTTTTCCCTATAACACTATCTAAAATCCTTGCTTCTCCCCGAATGTCACTCCCCTTCCCATCACCCTGTTTTTATCTCCTTCCCAGTGTGCCATCATCTCTGAACTTATCTCGTCTTCTGGTGTGTTTACTTTAGAGGTTGCAACCTGGCAGCCTACAGGCCAACAATGGCCTATAACATGCTTTGTTGGGCAGGCAGTGTGTAGAAATTTCTCTGAGCCAATATTTAAAGGTTGGATCTCTTACCATAAAAAACATAATCATATAAAAATTCTATCTCTTCTTGAAAAATGAGAAGATTTGGCAAGTTAAGTCCCCATTTCTGAAGGGCTGCGCTTGACTGAAGTTGGGTTTTGTTTACCATACCTGCCTGATTTGTTTTTTTATACTTTCTTATCTCCTGCAGGCATTTGAGTTTTGCAAACCTTGGCTTATTTGTTTGCCATCCGTCTCCTCCAAATAGAATATAAGCTTCGTGAGGTTAGGGTCTTTGTCTCATTCCTTCTTCTTTCTTTCTTTCTTTTTTTTTAATTAAATTACATTACAATTTGACTTGACTGCCCTTCTTTTCATTTTAGGATCCACTGTCTCTCTTTTTTTTCAACCTAAATGGGGTATGATTGATGAGTAGGAATTATATGTATTTAGGGTATACAGTGTGATTCATAAACAGCGTGAAACGATCTCCACAATCAAGCTAGTTAGCATATCCATCGCTTCACATTGTTACCTTTTATCACGTGTGGTGAGAACACTTAAGATCTACTCTTAGCAAATTTCAGGCATTCAACACAGAATCGTTAAGTAGCGTCACCACGCTGTACATTAGATCCCCAGAACTTGTTCGCATTATAACAGGAAGTTTGTGCCCTGTGACCGCCCCCCCACCACCACCCACTTCCTTGCCTCCAGCCCCTGGCAGCCACCACTCTGTGCTTCTTTGAGTTTGACTATTTTATATTCCACCGTCAATCTTTACAAAAGCCTTGATGGAGTCTTATTTTGACTTTTGTGACTCTTAATTTCCGGGTTTTCTTTTTTCTTCTTTTAAAACAGTAAAATACATATATGTAAAATCGACCATTTTCATCATTTTTAAGTGTACAGTTCAGTGGCATTAAATATATTAACATTGTTGTGCAGCCATCACCAACATGCAGCTCAATAACTTTATCTTCCCCAGGTGGCACTCTGTCTCCATTAAACAATGACTCCCATTACCATCCCCTAGCCCTGGGTTTCCATCATCCTACTTTCTGTCTTTCACTTGTTCCTTCCTTCTCTCCAGCTTCCAAAATTGTTTCTACTATATAGTCAGTGTTTAGCAAGTAGTTGTTGAATGAATGACTGTGAGGGTGCTCGGAGGTCCCCCATGTTGCTCATTTGAGGAACATGTGATGTGTACTAGGGGAGATGCTCAGACCCAAGTTGGGGTCCTCAAGGGCCTGAGCGCCATGTCTATCCTCTTCCAACAGGCCTGCTGCTCCTGGTCAGCCTGGAGGTGTTCCGGCATTCCGTGCAAGCCCTGCTGCAGAGGGTCGGCCCAGAGCCACCTGCGGCCCCGGCCCTGACCTACGAGTACTCCTGGTCTCTGGGCTGCGGTATGGGGGCTGGCCTGGTCCTGATGCTGGCGGGTATCTGCTTTCTCTCACTTACCCTGCCGTCCTGGCCCTGGAGCTCACTCTGTCCCAAGCAGGGGCACAGGGCTACCTAGAGCCACCATCATGCTTTCTCCAAGATCCTTCTAAACCCTTCTTTCTCTATTGTCCCCTCAAAATCTGTTGTTCCATGTCCTGGACAAAGAGCGTTCTCCCTGCTCTGGGGCCCACGTTGTGTGCACAGACCTATGTCTCGTGCCCTCATCTTTTTCTCTCTGTAAATATGTTTTCCTTGGTGGCTGAATTTGTGTCGCTTGGGGGTAGGATAGGGAGAGGCTTTTTGCAAACAAGGGTCCCAAGGGAAGGCTGGTGGGGACCTGAGGGGGTAACTAGGGATGGGGAGGATGAAGTCAGGGTGTTAGGAGGGAGTTGGACCTATTAATTTCTCCAATCTAGATGTATTGACTTGTGGGAGAGGTTCTTCTGGCTATTGTGAAATTTAGGGAAATAGAGGAGTGGGAAGGGGAGAATGTTTGGGTATGACCTTGCTGTGGTCTGATTTGGGATTAAAGGTTTGGAAATTTAATAGCTTTGATTTGGAGTCAATTTGTGATGTGATTGTGCATTTTAGGGTATAGAAAAGTGACCACTTGTTATCCCCCAGAAACATGCTACGTGCTCCTTATAAGCTCTGAAGTCACATGTCAGTGAACCCATGGAAAGTGATGGAGAACTGAGCAATTTAGGACATGACCATTGCTATGGGTTGAATGTGTCCCTTCCAAAAATATGTGTTGGGTTTTTCACCCTTAGGACCTTAGAATCTGACCTTATTTGGAGACAGGGTCTTTACAGAGGTGACCAAGCGAAAATGAGGTCACTAGGGTGTGTCCTAGTATAATCTGACAGGTATCCTTATAAGAAGACGAGATCAGGACACAGACATGCACAGAGGGACGGCGAGGTGAAGCGACATGGGGACAAGATGGCCACCTACAAGCCAAGGAGAGAGGCCTGGCATGGATTCGCCTTCAGAGCCAGCAGAAAGAACCAGCCCTGCGGCACCTTGATCTCAGACTTCCAGCCTCCAGACCTGGGAGACAATAAATTCCTATCGTCTAAGTCACCCGGTTTGTAGTATTTTGTTATGGCAACCCGAGAGATTAATCCAGATTTTAGTACCTAGAAGTGGGGTGCCACTGAACAGACACCTGAGAGTGTGGATGTGGTGTTGGGATTGGGGAGTGGGTAGGGGCTGGAGGAGTTTTGAGATGCATGATGAAAAAGCCCAGATTGCCTTGATGAGATCTTGGCAGGAACATGGACCTGAAAGGAAATTCTGAAGAGGACTCGGAAGGAAGTGAGGAGAACATCAGCCATCTGAGAGAGCACATTTGCTGCTGTGCACAGAATGCTGGTAGAAGCAGGAACAGCAACAACAGCACTGTTACCAGTGAAGGAGGACCTCGTGTCAGGTGTTCAAGTCCCTCATGAAGACCAATGTCCATATTTTAGCTCAGAAATCATAATTTCATGACTCCTGCCACTAGGTAGGGATCACTGGAGCTGATCTGTTACCTCTCAGAGGCCGTCTCTTAAATGTTGAAAAATATTTGAAATGTGGAATATGTGCTGGCTTGTGAATACAAGTGTATTCATATTCTGAGTTCAGGTCTCTTAAATGTTCTAAATTTAATTATAAATTATAAATACAATTATATAGACATTACATAGAATATAAAATAGTATACATTATATTATTATGCCAGTATTATATATAACATATCATTATAATCACAGGTTACTATATTAACATTACAGGTATTATATTAATATATTTTAAACATTTCTATATTTAATTATAAATTATACATATAAATATATATTATATACTTACATATAATTATAACATACCATTATATATTATAATTTTGTATGATATATTAATATCCTATCATAACTAATGTTCTGACATTCATATACATATAATATTCATACACTATGACATTGTATTATATAAATGTTATATTTGATATAACATGTAACATATTTATTATAACTATATAGCTACAACATATGTTACATAGGTACTATAACAGTACATAGATATTGTAATATTAAATAACAAATACTATAATATATAGATATTATACAGATACTATATATTACATAGATATTATAACATATACATTACATAAATGTCATAACGCTTATAATATCATTACATATTGTCCCAGTGGCTTCCTCCCCAGGATATTATTTTGTCACCCAGAAAAGGCGGGCACTCCTCCCTTGATTGGCTGAGACTGAGCCTGTCCCTGCTTCAGTGTTGCAGTCTTTGGCAGGACACCACTCATTTCTTCTGCACTGAACTCAGCATCAAGGGATGAGAGCGGGGAATGCAGATTTGCGTCCCCACTAAGCAAGCACAGGCAGCATAGGGTGGAAGTTGAGGATGTGGGCTGTAAACAGTGAATGTCCAGTGTGAAACTCGCCTCCACCTTTCACAGCTTGAGTACCTTGCTTGACTTCTTCGTGCCTCTGTTTCTCCCTGCCTTAGGAGAGCTCATGGCAATATTTAACCTCCTGGAGTCCTTGTGAGGAGTAAATGCCCTCGTACTCCCTGCATGGCCCCAGTAGACTGTCTGACACATAGTTCTTACTCCATCAGTCTCGCTGTTGTTATTTTTTATCGAGTGGCACTTTGGGCTCTGCATACAGTAAGGAATGAAAAGGGACCCCCGAGGAGCCTACAGTCTGGTGATGGAAACATATTAATCACATAATCACACTAACAAATGTGTAATTATGAACTGAGATAAGTGCTAGGAATAGGACTCACCAACTTTCTTTTCTACTTGACTTTGTGCTCAGCCAGCTCAGGGAAGCCCAGAGAAGTGTTTGCCATGGGGGCGGGGCCTCCGGTCTTGGGAACACGGCTCTTCATCCAGTAGGGTCTTCCTTCTGCCCCTCTGTCCTATCTGGGGTCTTCATGGACTTCCCAGAAGTGGGAGAAGGGAGTAGAGACCCCTCAAAGACTACTAACAAGAATCACATCATACTATGAGATAATTTATTACAGCATTGATTTGTGTCTTTTTACCTTGTCTTTTGAAGTGAAGGAAAATAGAAGATTTTTTATAATTTTTTAATTTTTCAATTACAGTTGACATTCAATATTATATTAGTTTCAGGTGTACAGCATAGCAGTGGTTAGACATTTATATACCTTATGAAGTGATTCCCCCAATTAGTTCAGTACCCATCTGACACCATCCATAGTTATTACAATGTTATTGACAATATTCCCTAAGCGCTGTACTTTACATCCTTGTGACTATTTTTATAACTGCCAGTTTGTACTGAAATAGAAGCTTCTTGAAATCTACAACCCTTCCTGGGTTTTTTTTGGTATACATTTAAAAACTTTTGAACATTGTTTCAAACAGACAGAGAAGTTGCAAGAGTCAAAGTAATGCCCTGAAGACCTGCATACTCTTCTCAGATCCACTGTTAACGTTCTACCCCACATCCAAATGCATCTTTTTTAAATTCAGCAAACTTTTATTTATAAATGTGAAACACAGCATATATGCAAAAGAATGTGTAAAAGCCAACATCCCATGTAAAGAATTAAATTAAAATTTTTTTCAAAACCTGGGCTAAGAAAACTAGCATCTTGGAAGCTGCTGGTCTGTCCCTCACTGATAATCCCATCTCAACACCCAACTCTCATAGATAACTAACCATAACCCTAATTTTGAACAAATCTTTCTCTTGCTTTTCTTTATAGTTTTACAAACTATAATTCTATTCTTTTTTAAAAGTATTGTTTCCTTTTGCTTATTTTTGAACTTCATGTAAATGGAACTTACCATGTGTTTTTCTGTGTAATGTTTGTCTTTTTTCTAAAGTCTAAAGAAGAAGATTGAAACTCATGGTCAGAGTGCTGGATAAGACCCACAGACATGTAACGTAAAATTAACCATTTTTATGTGAACAATTCATTGGCATTGAATATACTTAGTGACATTCCAATGCTATGCAACCATCATCTCCATCTAGTTCCAAGACATTTTCATCACCCCAAAAGGAAACCCTGTACCCATGAAACCATTACTCCCCATTTTCCCCTCCTCCCAGCCTCTGACAGCCACTCATCTGTTTTCTGTCCCTATGGATTTATCTGTTCTGGGTGTTTCATATAATTAAAAGTAGGTGTTCAGACAAGTACTTATACATGAATGTTCCAAGCAGCACTATTCACAATAGCCCAAAGATGGAGCAGCCCAAATGTCCATCATCGGACGAATGGATAAACCAAATGGGCTGTGTCCATACAATGTTATTGGTTCACAGAAAGGAATGAGGTACATGCTTCAACGTGGATGAACCTCAAAAACAAATTTATTTTTGAGTCAGCATCCCATCTTTAAACATCAGAAGATTTTACATCCAAAGCCGGGTTTTCAGGTTCTGTTGAAAAACCTGCAACTGGCAGCATGGTAGCCATAATTAATGAGCTGCACTGAGGAGGGACTGTTCCCGGCCTGCTGTGGGTCTCATCCTCTCTCCAAGGAAGGAGCTGGCGAGAATGAAGAGTTCTCACTTCAAACTTCAAGAGTGGGAAAGCGTCAAATGGACCGCTCCTTTCCACGAGCGCCACCTGGAGGTGGCAGGTGAACCATGCAGAGAGAAGCTGGAACTGAGCTGATGGACACCCCACTACCCCAAAGGTTGAGGGTGACTAATTGGAGGAGATGATGCATTTACAGGCATCGAGAACTAATTGCAAGTGAGGACTGCAGCCTCAAGAGAGAGCGGAAGGGGGAGTACAAATAAAGAAAAAGCTGGCCATGCCCACTGCAGCTGCAGGCAACCTGCCCAAATCATTTCAATTACTGGACTGACAGCTACTTTTTTCCGTTGCCATGTGACTAAAGAAAGAAAAAAGCAACAGTGACTGTCAGTCTTTATACCTAAGATGACTGTAAATGTCATGAGACTTGCCGTGGGTGTCCCCCAAGGGCACAGGTAAAGAATTAGGAGGTGGGTATGATAGGGGGATGGGGGAAAAGGAAGAAGTCGTTTTCTCATTCACTGTAATTATCCTGCC